GGTAGACCTCCCACTCCGAAAAATTTCATCCTCTGTGTCACTAAATGTGCACAATGCGAACCATAATTTGCAACATCGATGTGACGATCGTTCCATGATTCACGACATTGAAAACAGCCATGGATTTTACGTCATTGCGAAAAATGATGCGAAAAGTAGATTGGCAATAATTCTAAGGTGTATCTGGATTTTGGAGACTGTCGCGTTTCCCCTCTTTCTTACCATGTTTCTCATATTTATAATTTCATTTTGGAGCTGGCTCGTCGTCAGATCCAACTTCATGACCTGGCCGGCGCATAATAGAACGCTAAATCCAAATTTGTAAATGGGAGAAAGTTAATTTTTTAGATATAACAGAATTATTCCGGCGTGTCGCCGCACATTTGAGTTTATGGGAAGTTCCTATTGCAGAAAATGGACACGGTGAGATTGATGCAAATTATGTAGGTTGCCTGAAACAATAATTTTAGAATTTGTGGCAACTGCTAGGTACATAAGTTAAAAATGTAACAAAAATTAACTAATTTAAATACGCAAAAAATGCAGGTCATGTTATTCGTTTACGAATTATTTCGGCCCCCAGTTTTTAATTCTAAGGTCTCCCTCTGCTTACATACTTCAATTTTTAATTCTAAATATTTTAAGTATTAGTTATGTCGCTTATTTATGTCATATCAAAACTTATGTATGGGGCGTATGTATTGGCAAACAAATATCAAGCAGTAGTTTAATCTTTGGATCAATACAATTACATATATATTGAAAAAAATTGTAAATTGCATACCGCCTTCTCGCCAAAATATTGAGTCTACAATTTTGCCGGGTTTAATGAAGTATAATTTTAATAATTTTTAAATATCGCCAGATAACAAAATATTATCTACCAGGAAAGACAATAGTATTTACATGCTGAAACATGTTTGTGTCTATGTATGAGAAGATGAATTGTGCCTACATATTTATATAGATATGTACACATTAGAGAAAAGTTTAATTTTAAACAAATCTCATGGAATTTAATGCATTAGAAATTACTTAAATATTTGTGTATTAAATATACATAAATATTTCTACCGCGCGGAAGATTAAAATATTACTCTACTTCACTTAAAAACATACACCCTTAAACAATTTTACTAGAATTTACGTAAAGGCAACGATTTAACTTAATCATTGGTGTATATGTATACATTTACAAAAATCCGGTCTAGGTATAAATAAATGAAGATAAACATAAAGCATGAGAAAACCCCTTAATTAAAGCCACTCTACTACCTTTAATGAATTTAAATACTTATGTAAGTACCGGTTATGATTAAATGCAGTTTAAGTAAAATTTGACTCGACACAAATATATACTTAGCTTGTACTATCATCTGATACTTTTATTTATTTTACAAACAAACACTAAATAAAGTTGTGTAAAATTTACTCAAGGCTGAGCAAAATAGAGGACACCTCTTGGAATAATTGGATAAAACTTGTTCAACCTTTTGGCAAATTGTACCAAATTCTTGTTTACTCAACCGTTTGTCAATTTCACACAACTTTATTTAGAGTGCATACTGCTAGCAAATTAAATTCTTGTTGTCAAATAACAGCGAAAGTTTTTCTTATATCCAGAAAAAAACCTGACTTTCTTGTACGTAACACTGAAGAAAAATTAGCTTCGCAATGTTTTCGAATAATTTCACCTCCTCAAAAAATGTGCCTGTCTTACTAGTTCCTTCCGGAATTTGGGACGCTGGCGAAACGTTGGGCAAATATTATGGGAAAGTATCCCCGCTCCCATTTAAATTCATTTCGCGTAAAAAGGTGGCCTTGACTAAACTAACGCCGTGGAAACGCTTTCTTAGTGCGGCATCTTCTGTATGGATGCTAGTGCACACCCTGATTTGTTGCTACCTCCTCGCTGCTGCTTATGCATATCGGAATGAAAACTATACTGATAACAGGAACAAAAAAGTTGCCACTTTTGGTCTCGTGTACTTATCAATTTATCCCCTGTGCATGTCCGGAATTAGTTTTGCAATAGGATTTTCTCCACTCGTTGGTCCAAATGTGATCAACCCGATGGAATTTTTCGAAAAGAGATTGACCGGTAATATTGAAATTAAATCATAGAACTTTGGTAATTTCATTGGTTTCACATCGATTACAATTAATTATTTTTGTGTTAGTCAATCGTTTAAAAATACGGGTTTTACACTGTAAATTCTGCTGAATGACGTAGCTCTAGTGATCGTGGTTTTTGCCCTGTTGATGCCTCGGCGTGGTTACCAAGGTGATGTAGTGGTGTTACACCACTACATCACACCTTGGTAACCACCACTGGTGTATGATGATCATATGCAGGGTATGATAATCATAACCCTGCGTCACAAAATACTCACCGGTCGGTGATAATCCGGTTATGAAAGCTCTTAGCGTGCGAATTTTAATCTATTAAATCAAATTTTATGGTCAAAACCGATGTTTTGGGAGTAACTTCATTCAATAACCAAATAATTTTCACAATTTCAGAACTCCACTACCCAAATCAGTCGTCGCAACCATCAACCTCATCTATCTGGCTTTCCCCAGCCTTGAAACTACTAACTTGGGGGGTCTTAGTAGTGCCGATCATTCTGACACCAATTTTCGTCCTCTACGACTTAGATCCTCTACACGTTTTCCTTCATTGCCCACAACTTCCGTGTCCCTCCTGGATTTCACTACTGCTTCATCTCATCAGAACATTGCTACTCCTCCCGGTGGCTACTGAATTGTCCAAGTGTACCACAACATTACTCATCGTCGGGCTCGGTGTAGTCGGTGCCTGCACGAAAGTCATGCTAGAATTAAAATCACGAATGGAGTCTCCCTTTGTCCTTTACAAAATGAAGTTAATCCAGATTTATAAGGAGTTTCAGATCTGGAATGTCTACCTGAACACCACATTTGCATATAGGGCTATCCCACCACTTGTATTTTTTGGAGCAGGTCTTATGATACTTTCGTCGTATGGAACGATTCGAATGTTCCACTCTGCCCCAGGCGTTCTATATCCATTAATGCCAGGAAGTGGTGTGCTGACGCTTTTATTTTTGGTAACCTTGTTACCCCAAGGGGCACGAACGTTTGAAAATTCAGTCATATTTCTGCACACGGTGAAACGATGTTTGATCAATAAGTATGGAAGGAAAAGGGAGAAGGTTAGTAAGTCATTACGACCGGTGGGGATAATGTGTGGTCCGTTCGGTATGATTGGGAGGAAATGGACGCTCAAAATGGCGCAGACGATACCCGATTATACGGCTACCTTGTTGTTAACGATGTGATTGTTAATCCTCATTCGTTGCTGTGGAATATTTGCACACTGTGGCCAGTAGCTAGGGGATAAGTGATTTAGAACCATTGAAATATATTTATCAATTCTGTACATAGAGTGGCGCGAGGTTATAAATAATAAACTCTGTCCCTTCGAAGACGGTATGTCGGGGATTTTTATTAAGCAGGATGCCACATAACCACATTAGTGCACTAAATCATAAAAGCCTATTTATGTATATTTCAAATAAATTGCATTAAAAGCATATTTATGTTCGATGATATGTTGCAACTTAGGTAAGGGAGCGTCCATAAATCACGTGATCGATTTTTTGACAATTTTGACCCCCTCCCCCCCTTGGTGACCAATGGTGATAAATTCATTACCCCCCCCCCCCGCGGTCACGTGACAGCATACCCATTAAACCTTTTTTTCCCCATGTGCGATTTTTTGTGGCGGACTTTTTTTCCGCAAAAAGTTTTTTCGCCAAACTGACCTGTTTCCGACAGGTAAACACATGGCCAAATTAACCCAAAAATAATATTCCTGGGCCATTTCAAATCCGTAGTTAAATTAAATTTTAAAATTATTGAAAGAACTATTTAATACTAATCAGTAAGTATATTGAGTAATTCAACATTCTTACTTCTTAAGGACAACTGCGTAAACTTATTATCTGAAAGAATAATGAGAGTTCTATGAATGTGCACTGAAATTTGGGAGAGTGGTATATATATGCAAATCAGACCTACATAACATTGTCAAGTAAAAATTTAAAAATATGCCGTATTCGAATTTAAGATAAAAGAGATTAACGATTAAGTAAATACATATTATCAAGTTTAATATTTATATCCGAAGTTAAAAGAAAATTTTTCGTGGCATGTCACGTGACTGCCGGCCATTACCCCCCCCCCCCTTGGTGATAATAGGTGACAAATTTCAGACCCCTCCCCCCCCCTCTGATCGATCACGTGATTTATGGACGCTCCCTAAACAAAACACTCAGATCATGCAACAACTTCATTCATTGATCCAAGAATTTGATTTGTTTCTGTATTTAGTAAATAAATATCAAAAAATAGTTGTAAATATGCTTTTATCTTCCCGGACACATTTTGCATCTGTCCACGCTTGTCCATTACGTATGGATTCCATCATAATTTCGTTTAAACTGAGCACTGTGAAAAATCCTGATACAAGTGGGTTAACTACATATTTATGTAAAGCTACATACATAATTATCGTGGTTTCATCAAAATCGGAGCGATACAGCTGGCGTCATTGTACGATCGGGGATGTTAGTGAACGAAAACGTGAACGAGCTTGTAATTTATGTATTTCATGCCTTCAAATTCTTGTTCAGGATGATTTCATTAGTCTGGACATGAAAATGTTGGACAAAAAAATAATTTATACAAAATTTCAAAAATTTGTAGAAATTGTATTATTGAAAAGTGAGAAGTTGTCGTAAAAACAACCTACGAGCAGAGGTGTCAACAAACAGAGGTGTCTATGTACAAGGTATGCATACACGAAATATGAGTACACTCCTGTGACTGTACTGTACTGAGAGTGCACTCGCAGTACACTCGAGTGTACTGCCAATAAATGCATGCCGGTAGAATGTGGCAAGTTTTCCAGCTTTGATTCACTCCAATTTTTTAAACTGGTAGGTACAAATTACAAATATTTATTATCAAGTTCTGTATTTAATAATTCATAAATACAATATGTGGAACTAATTTCTCTATAATTTTATAAAATCTGAATTTTACAAATTAAGGATCTCCTTCGACGTGAAACGTGTCCCTCTTGGACCTCGGTTGCCTATTTTTTACCACAGCTTCGCCAATACCATGCGTCCGCTGCAAATGAAGGGTCAACGCGGACTTGGTAACGAACCCCTTTCCACACTGACTGCAGGTGAAGGGCCGCTCCCCCGTGTGGGCTTGGAGGACGTGCGCCTTCAGAAGGTACGGGTACTGGAAGCCTTTTCCACACTGGGAGCATTTGCACGGAGTGGGGGTGACATAGCCGGGGGTGTGGATCCGCATAATGTGTGCACGTAATTTGGTCCCGGTTTTGAAGGCTCGTTCGCAGTGGGGGCAGGGGTATGGTCGCTGGTCAGAGTGGGACAAGAGGTGATTCCGAAGTTGTTGCCTTTGCGAGAATGCGGCGTCACATTGCTGAAAAAATGAAATAACGTTTCTTAACGTTTTTGCAACTAAAACTGAAATAATTCGAGGACAATTATTGCCAAACTTGCTAGCCTGTTGAAAATTCATTAAATATCTAGCTTGTAAAAATAGCTTTTAAAAATATATGTATCTATCTTACATCACATTTGTACGCCTTTATTCCTGTGTGCGTCCGCTTGTGTTCCCATAATCCCTTCGTTGAGGTGAAAGTTGCTCCACTGCAATTACATATTATTATTTTATTATTCCTCCGGAAAGTTTAACGGTAATGGCGATGCAAACCATGTTCAGCCCATTTATTTTGAGAGACCAAACTTGTACAAACAATATTTAGTTGGTGCGAGACTTGCACAGATGCAAAATTCAGAGGGCTGCAAGTTCGCGAAAACGTTCCATTTCAAAGAGGAATCAGACTTTTCTTGCATTTTGCATTTTCTAAATTTTGCGCAAGTTCCGCACTACAAGTTCCTGATTTTTCAGACTGAGATCCGTGGTCAAAATATAATCTGGGTTGAAAATAGTTTGTTAGTCAAATTAATAGTTACCACTCATCGCAAACCACCCGATCAGCACCATGCTCTCGAACTTGGTGAGTCTGGAGACTACTTGCATACAGAAAGTCTTCCCCACATGTCTCACACCGAGACCGGATCGATTCGTCATGCCCTCTCAGATGCTTCCTTAGGCTGAGGATGGTGTAGAAATTTTTTCCGCAAATTTCGCAAACATGTTCCTTCACCCGAGTGTGATCACGAGCGATGTGTTCGGAAAGGGTTTCCCGTCGGGTGAATGATTTCGAGCAGGAGGAACATTTAAATGGGCGAACAATAGAGTCAAGTTCCGACCTTGGGATCCGACCCGGTAACTTTTTGAATTGTACGATACCCTCGTCCTTGAATCGTTTCAGGTAGCGGAACACAGTGCTTCGTGGAACGCCTTGCTGCCGGAAAAATGTTACGGTCTTTTTGGAGTCTTGGTTGGCCTCGTTTTTGTAAAAGTCGATCACCCGTTCGGCCAGTTGGATACTTTGCGCCTTACTTTTTCGACCTTCGACTCCCTGTGGGTGGGCGACCTTTCGGTGGGCGTCTCTCCCCTTAGTCGTGCTAAATGCGGCGTGGCAATGCGGATCGGGACAAGGAATGCAGTGCTGTCGGGCGATGTGATTGGACAGGATGGACGAGGTGGTGAATGATCTGGGACAAGAGGGACATGTATGAGTTGGCTTGGTTTTCTGGTGTTCTTTCGATAAGTCGAGATCATCGAAAGGAAGGTAATCTTGTTGGGTGTCATCGTCGTTGAATGGGGATAATGAAGTGGAAGAAATCGGGCTGGATTTTGCAACTGGGGGGACGCTAATCCGCTCTAGCGACACGGTCAGCGTTTTATTAAAACCTTTCGGAGGAAGAACTGTCTTCTTAGGGCGAGTTGAGCGACGTACTGCTTCTTTTGACGTTTGGTTTTCGAAAATGGGAGGAGAGTCGTTTCCAATTTTTCGTTTAGTTCTAAAAATAAAAAACGGAAAAGTAAAGCAAGCAAAAAAGTTGATGTTGTAATTTAAATTTTTATATCAAATCTGATAAAATTGGCTTTAAAAAAATTCTAATTTCATACCGTTTTCGATTATTTTTTCCAGTGGATTTCGGGCGTCCCCCTCTCCTCTTTTGTGGGTGTGGACTGATGCAGAAGGCGAGTTCGTCATAGTCATCGTCACCTACGGGAACCATGTTCAGTTCGGAAACGGCGTAGGGGGAATTATGATCGTCAAAGCTTCCGTCATCCCCACCCAGAAACACATCTCCGTCATCCTGTTCGACTTTGATTTGCACTTCATCCAGAGCAAAATTTTCGTCTTGTTGGTCGTCATTATCTCCTAATCATGAATAAATCAAAATAAGTTTATGTTTAATAGTAAAATAAAATAATGGAGAGTAGAACATTAAAATTGCACTCAACCCATCATTTTAAGTATACTTCTCCTCAATTTGTGAGCCTTGTCCCCACCATCGTCCCCATTTTCCCCAGAAGAAGCTAGCATAATTTCGCGAATTTTAGTCATTTTTATCCCAATTTGTTCCTCCAGGGCGGACATTTGGTCACGGAATTGTTCCATCTCGCTTATCACGCGGCCACAAACGGGACAAAGTTCACAGGTCTCATCCTCATCAAATTGTGGAGTAACTTTCCTGCGAGTATGAGTTGACGATAAGAGCACTTCGCACAGGGTTGAGATTCGTATTTGTCTAGTTTCCTTATCATCCAATGACGGAATTATGTCCACGAATTGGAAACAGAGAAAGCACACTGGACTCGACATGATGATCTAGAATATCATTTTGCAGTTAATTATATTCTGGCATTGTCATTTAATTATTTCCTCAAAAAGTGAAAAGTACTGTTTCCTCAATTTTGAACTTTTTTGAAATTTTTTTACTCGCTTCAGGACTTTTATCACTACAAATACATAAGTATGCAGCACAAATATAGTTTGTGTTTGCACTAATAATTTACCAAATTGAAATAGAACAATTTAATAACCGGAAATAGAAAAATACTTATTTTTGCAAAAATCATGCCAAATGTTTTGTCAACACGTGGATTTAAATTCGTGCCAATCAGTCATTGGTCTTAAAATGAGACTCGAAAAACAAAGAGTTCTTCATGAAAAGCTACAAAATGCATAGTAAAAAATATACGATTACGCATACCGTTTTGATTTAAAATATTTAAAATATCTGCGTTATTGTTTAAATAAATTCATTTTTGTTCTACCATCCGTTTAAGTTCCTTAGCATTGCATAATTTACGTGCATCACTACGATTTTATTGTATTTTGATCATGCCCGTCTGCCTTTCATTAAAAATGATAAAATGTTATCTACGTTAATCCTCCCATTGATTATGGAGTTTCTGTGTATGATTTTAACCTTAGATATTACAACCCATAAATATTTATTGTCAGAATTCACTAATCCATACCTACATATGCATAAATGCATATCTTTATCAAGAAAATTTATTAAATAATCGCCTTGAATTAAATGACTCAGGTTTTATTGTAGTCATCTCTTAAAATAATAAAACGAATTAAAATGTCTGCAACAAGCAAGCATATGTAACTCTGACGTATGCACATATGTAAGTCGCGTTTATGCACTGCTCCACTCTTGGAAATTTTAGGTAATAATGTAATCACTGATATTTGACACTACCAGCATCGAACAACAAGGAGTATACTTGTCAGTTTAATTTTAATTTACAAAATTACCCAACACTTCCGAACCGTCATAATCCGGGTAGAAAGTTGTTACCAATACAATACCACTCCTTAGTAAAGAAACGAGGTGTGTGGCTTTGCTTGATTTTTTAGAGTGTTCGAGAATTCACAAAAGTTCCCAAAGCTCAAGCGGCTCGCTCCGCATTAATACGCGCTTCAATCTCATAAAATTTATAATCCATGGATCAGTCGCTACATACTTACCTGCCATAAAATCAAAATCCGATTCTCAGCATGCGTAAATATTGGTATAAATATGGGTGCAATAAGTTCGTGAAAATCATATGAATTATTTTGTTCAAGTAGAAAAGCAGAAATTAGTGGTAAAAATGTGGTGGCAACTTCAGCCCTTATTACTTTTGGGAGTCGTGTCCTTCTGTGCGACGGAAGGTATTCCGTAATCAATTCGTTTTACATAATTTCTGAGATATCTGATATGCATATTTACGTAAAAATCTTCTTCTGACACAATTCTAGATTTAGCCCTGGATTCCGTTGCCCAAGGGGGATCTATAAAGGCCCAGAATTATTTGGGGGCATGGGAAGGAAAAAGGTATTATCGCGCAGAAGATACACAGGTTATTTTAATATATACGTTTCTGCTGCCATACATACATATGTGATGTATGTATTTATGTATATGCAAAATCATTACCACGTCTTCAGTTAAAAATTTGTCACCGAAATGCAACACAAATTTTGGAGAAATTCATAAACAAATATGCCTACAACTTATATGTGCAAATTTTTAACCGGACACAGTTGTACATATGTACATATGCACGTACATATCAAGTTTGAATTTCTCGGAAATTTCCGGTTATCATTTTTCTGTGACATAACTTTACCATAAAAAAGTGCCCACCTACGGTAACGATTTTGTTACATACTTATTTTGAGTATGTATTGTTCATGTACATATTTACATAGGCCACGTGGTCAGAATCGTTGACTCGATGTAGTTCGCAAGGAATGGTTCTCGCTGATTTCGGTTCAACTTCAGAGGTGGCAGCCGTAGCAGGAATATTGGATAACTGTAAAAATTTGCATTATATGAAATATTTATGTCCTAAAAATAGGAACATAATTTGAACTATTTTATTTAGTTTGGTACTGGACGGCAGGAAAACTAATTCCCACCTTCAAATGGGAAACTACACAGGGTGCAGTTAACGTTCCCGTAATTGAGGATGACTCGCTTTGTGTTCTCATTAATAGCGCTGGGTTCCTGCATGACGCCCCATGTTCGGGACTCGCTTATACTTTGTGTCACACGTGATTAAGTACTTTCAAGCAAGGAATAAATCATCCTGGAGGAAAGTTTCGATCAACATTACCTATTCTTGCAGTTGTTTATTGTTTCAATTAAAATACAAAATATAATTTTGTTGTTGAATGTAATGACCAATTGTAAAATTACTCGAATAAAAGACTAATTTGTCAATGAATGAGCAGTCTAAGCGAACAACGGCCTCATAAATGTGTATTTATTTGTAGCAATATTTTTTGCAAATTTTTCGCCATTATGCGAAGATGTTTGTGGAGAATGGCAAACCCCATATAGGATTATAGTCTAGATTATAGGATCAAATAGGATTATAGTTTCTATGTACATAGTCTGTATTTGTTAAATATGTATAGCTTGCATTTCAACAATTCTGGGTAGATTTTCTTCATTTTTGTTGAAAAATTATCGGAATGAGTTGTATTTTCAGATTTCGACGTTTTTGAAGTTCCACAAATTTAACGGGTAAATAGTAAAGGTAACAAGGTCAGGGTGATTGCCTAAATGAAGCAATGGGCTGAGTACCACGTTGAAGGAGACGTTATTTCTCTATCTAATTTAACATCCAAAAACGGTCTATATTTATTACCCTGACAATTCTAAACAGTAGCAATTCAATCATGCAGGACACATGGTTGACATCACTTTCTCACTTCAGTTTATTCGACGACGTACATATGTAAATCCAGTGATTGAGAACCCTCTACTTTCACCAATTTTTCCAAAACACATTTCAGCCCCAAATTTTATGTAGCTCATGCATAAATAAGTTTACATATGTATGCATGAGCAGCAGGTCGCCTGTTCAATTTAATACTTGACATGACTAGATATTGATTTATAAAACTTCAAAACTAAACAATACCTCGACTTGTGAGGGTTTTCAGGCTGGAGGTCATCTTGCTTTGTTACCCTAATTTTCCCACAAATACAATTAGAATGAAAGATTAATTTTCCATTTAAAGCGGTATTTCTACCACCGAAATAAACATCATTAATTATGCACGTCCCTCGATTGGAAGAAATCCATACCTGTAGAATATTCCATTCGAGTTAATGCCTTTGTGTCAGCTTAGTTTTCATATTTGTACATCGTGATATTCCCATGATACGACGTTTTTGTTCCTCTTTTTCACGGGAATTGTAGAGATTTTATTTGATCATTCATGCATCATCCAACGCAAGACTTTTCTCACTTTCACTCCATATTCAATTCTATCTAACAATATTTTCAGTCACTTTCATACTTTCACTCTCACCGAGCGCACCTATCTCGATACAGTCGATGATAATTTTCAACTTCAGCGTAGAAGTATTAAGTAATAATTTTACTAATTTTTACTAATTTCAAAATTTTATAATAAGAAATACACGTAGATTCTTTGAGGATCTTTTCGCTGTTAGAAATCCGGTATAATAACGCAGATATTGCTTAGCATTAAAGTCGCTTGGTCTTAAAATTATACCGGACTGGACTGTACAAATTTGTTACCGATATAGTGAATATTTTTCTTTAATTCAAGGCGATTATTATAAGGTATTACTTTTTAACACCACTTGGTATTATTTTAATACCGGATTTCTACAGAGTGTGCAAAAAGGCGCCTTTTTGGGAAAAAATTCATGCCTTTTTGCCGTTTTGCCAGTTTCAATGCCGAATTGCCTTTTTGCGTGCCATTTTGCCCGTTTCATGCCTTTTTGCCTTTTTCCTTATGTTTCCATTGGGTATCGCCTGAACCACTTTACAAATTTTACTATGGACAAGAAAGTGTGACAACAGTGTAATTGGCTATAAATTTTGGTTTTTCTAAAACGTTACCAAATATACACTTCTACAGAACTAAACAACATTATTCAGTCATGATAATTAAAGGTATTTATAAATATTTATGCACCTCAAGATGTGCTTACATTTTTTAGTGGTGTCGACGATCATCCAAATCGGCTTAATAACCATAACTTATTATTCACGTGTCAACAAATCCTGTGAACTCTGAAACATTACAAGATTACAACTAGCAAATCATGGGATCGTATTATCACATTGCCCCAATTTTACCAAAAAGGCAAAACGGCATTTCGGGCAATCGGGCATGGTCAAAATTCACGTGCCTAATAGGCAAAAAGGCATTTTAGGCACGGCATGCCTTTTTGCCCTTGCACACTCTGGATTTCTACATAATAGTGTATCCAAATAAAATGACAGACATTTCTGAGGTCTTCTGAAAAGTTACAAAATTACTAAAACTCACAGTATATATTTAAATAGTTTTCAGAAATGGCGCCACGCCTTTACCCCGTCCACCAATACGCCGACCTGGATGACCTTCTCGCTTCGTCCTCCATCACCCAAAATGAATCCTCCCCTCCAGCCGGACCGCTTTGTCTGACCAATTTTCTCCTCACTTTCTCCGACGAGATTTTCTTCTTTATCTACTCCTTTCTCGGAGTCGCCATCCCGGTCGTGTACGTTCGATGTTGTCGAATGCATAATTGTAGTACTATCAAGCGATCGCGAAGTGGTCAATGGACAAGTAGAATGGTCTTGGCTGCTCTTGGTCTTCAGTACATCATCCAGTCGGTGGGATTCTGTCTATATCTTCTTTTTCGGGATAATTCCGATCCATCTGCAGCAGGGATGTAAGTTTTTTTGAAGAATTTAGCTCAGAGCGCGATAATGTCAATGGTGATGTACATAGAAATACTGTGGAGGTATTTTTGAGGGTCACCTTATTTGCATAAATCTCATTCATGTTCATTTTAAGAGAGTTGAATAAGCTCTAAATATTTCTCTCGATAATGCGGTAAAAGTATGCAAATGAGTTGACTGTAGTGACCTCATTTGCATACTTATTTTCCAGCTATAGCCGAAAATAATTCACGGTACTCACTGTATGTACATACATACAAACAGTTCCATTGTGGTGCTTATTAATAATTGTGCACCAAAAATTTGAACTATTTAACTGAGATTTCAGGGCGAATTTTAATTTATTTATTTTTTAATTTTAATAACTAAAATTGGTCCGATCGAAATCTGAGCTTGGCTGTTGACACTTCGTGTTGTAAAAACTTACTTTAATTTTGGCTGCATTATCTGTATTTCAGGTCAGAGGACAGGAATAGTATGGAGGATGTTGATCGCATTTAAAAGGTGCTGGGCTTTTGAGGAAAAAGCGATTCAATTAAATTTTCACCGTGTGAAATATTCAGGCTAAAAAATTGACACATTGTAGGTTTAGTGGATTTAATAGATACGTTCATATAGCATACTTTACAATTAGTTTATACCACGCAAGTATGTAAATAAGTAAAAGTATCTCAAGCTTTATGAAATTGACGAGATTTGTGAGAAATTTTACAGGAAAGCTGTGTTCGTAAATTTCAAGTCTTCAATCATAATGTCCTCATCATCCTGAGATAAATGATATATCACATGACAAGGTTTCATTGAAATCGAAAAGTCGCCGAGAACCACACCCACTGGGGGTGGGGCGTGTGACCCCTTGAACACTGCTCAGAGTGTCCGGGGGGTCGAGGTATTTTTTAGACATGCGACTAAGTTTTTGTGATTTCAAATTCCGCTACATGCATTACTTATATTTTATGTATTTTTTTAACTTGTGACCTTGATTTCGAGGGGGTGTGGTCGAATTTCAAAAATCTGGGAATATATATTTCGACGATAGATCTGGGCTTTCCAAAACAGTCGCAATTTTGAAAATCGGCAACCAATTGGCAAAGTAGTCCTAGTTTGAATTTTCAATGTTGTTAAGCATTACAAGATCGGCCAATAAGCCTCTCAGCAAGATATAATCTAAAATGTGCTTAATTAAAATGCCTCTACCATAATCTTCCTTGACGATTTTACAGAAAATTTGTACTCAGGAATTTTGCATTTTTATATTTTTCACCATTGATTCGCCAACTAAAGATGTACTTATGCATTGCATATGAAAAGTTGTAAAAATACGTAAAGTAGCGCGGTGTATACTGGACAACAATGATTAGGGAAGTAAGGAATTCATCAACATGTAATTTTAGGTTGTATATTTACTTGTGTTTTTATGCACTTTCACCTTAAATAAGTCGGTGCATATCGACACCTAACCAACCTAAGGATCTGACCGACACTAGTAATTTATGCCGTTCACTTTCTCTTGTCGCATTGCATTTATCTATTTATGATTAAGCACCTTCCGTGTTTAAGTCTTTTAATCAGGGTTAAATAAACAGAACCTGCATTCAATGTCGGTGCATAGGTCAGCAATTGTAAACAATTTGTATACATTGTTACGTAATTTCTGCACATTATGAACTTAAAGGATAAAAAGTAAATATGCATGCATATAAAAATTGCAAATTTTAATATTTCTTTTTTTTACAAAATATGTATTTCAAATCAGTTTATGCTTCTCGTCGTGATTTCAATTTAATTACATTTTCTATTAAACTTCTTTTACCAATTTTAAAGAAACCAACCCGGAATTAATAAATACACATCTTTTTTTATTATTTTGCCACGTTTGAGTTATTTAGAAAATACATCAAATCAAGCTCGTTACCCGACAAAATTTCAAAAAATTTCAAAATTTCAAAATTTCGTTACCCGACAAAATTTCTACCCGCGAACCGCCCTCCTTCCCGCCTTGCCATGTTTGCTCATTTTCTTTCCGGATTTCTTTCCCTTCAGATTCCTCCCCGACTTTTTGCTCTTCTTTCCGCTCTTTCCGGACTTCTTGCCCCCCTTGCGCCCCTTTCGCTTACTACTACGTCCCTTCAGCAGCCTGACGTTGATCGACCTTCCGCTCGCCGCTCCGGTGGCGGTGGCTTCGGCGTCTTTCACAACTTCGGCGGCAGCCTCTGGGGCAGCGGCGGTCAACTAAAAGTTTTAAAAAAATAATTAGTGCCACTTCCGCTCGGGGAAAATGAGACTTTGATTTGACGGAAGACGGTCAGTTTGGCGAAACACTTTCGCCATAAAATAATTCCATTTGGCGTAAAAAATTACCCATTTTATAGTACTTTTTTTGGCGAAATCAATGTCCAATTTGGCGAAACATGCGGGTTTTTCGCGAAGATCTCACGGGTTTTCCGTTTTCGCCAAGTGTGATATTAATTTTGCCATTATGGCTTTTTAAGATATTTTTTACTACATTGGCAAAAATTTATTTTCGCCA